TTTCTTTCTTTCTTTCTTTCTTTCTTTCTTTCTTTCTTTCTTTCTTTCTTCTTTCCTTTCTTTCTAGAGCACAAGCAGGGGAGAGAGGCAGAAGGAGAGGGAGAAAGAATCTTAAGTAAGCTCTACACTCAGCACGGAGCCCGACGTGATGTTCGATCTTACGACCCTGGGATCATGACCTGAGCAGAAATCAAGAGGCAGAGACTCAACTGACTGAGCCACCCAAGGCGCCCAGAGATTGGCACTTTGAAGAGGACTTTGGTATACATCTTGTTTTCATCATGATATTTGGTTCCTTTGGGGGTGACTTGAATGTAGATTAGGATAAATGTAGGTGTGTTGGAGAAGAATGAAGAAACAATAGGAGGAAACTGGACGTGGATGTGGTACTTATAAAGGATGCTGAAAGAATTTTACTGGCTGACCGCTTTGGAAAAGGATTGCAGGCTAGAAGTAAATGTCAGGTGGCCCGTTAGCCCACTCCAGGTGAAAAGGAAGTTTGCAGACCTCAGACTTACAAAACAAGTAATGATACCAGGGAGCTTGACTTGCATCCATCTTACCTTAAGAAACACCCTGCTGTTGGGGCGCCTGGGTGGTTCAGTCGGTTAAACATCCTACTCTTGACTTCGGCTCAGGTCATGACCTCATGGCTCATGAGTTCAAGCCCTGCATTCGGCTTCAGGCTGGCAGTGTGGACCCTGCTTGGGACTCTTTCTCCCTCCCTGCCCCTCTGTGATTGCTTGTGTATACTCTCTCTCTCTCTCTCAAAATAAATAAACTAAAAACAACACACAAATTTAAAAAACACCCGCTGTCAGAGTGAGCTCCCAGTAAATGCTTCTTTTAAAATGCTCCAAGACTTCCTGCTTTGGGTGGGTTGGGAGCGGGCTGTGGGCACAGTTGGCTCTCTGACATGGAACGGGGCATTGTCAAGGTGGCTGTTCCTTTGCTTCCCTGAGGAGCAATTCCTCTCTCACCCAAAGTCCCGTTTGTTGCTAGGAACACTCTGTGCTTGTCCCCACTCACTTTACAATGAAAACAAAGACAAATAAAAAATGGAACCACCATATGGTCTCGGCTGCAACCCAGAATCAGCTGCCGACGGGGAGACTTTGCCCTGTCACAGCTAAGGATTCAAGTGGCTGTGACAGAAGCCCTTCTCCTGAATTCTAAGATGTTGGAGTTGGCGGAAAGATGAACCCAAGCTTCTTCAACCATCCTTCAGTGGTGCAGCCAGTGGTAACTAACTCACCAGTCATGTTATATATGTTTGTTGGCATGACATGTCTCTTAGGACTTGAGGGTATAACCTCATTCCGTACAGAGCTGTTTTCTCAGGCAGAAATGTCAGCCCCAAATTAATGCACATTCCCAGCAGGCTCCAGGCTGTTTCACTGCTCTGCCCTTCCCTCTTGCTCACCTGGGTAACTTTTAGTCTCCTTTTAAGTTATAGGTGTTATTTATTCCAAGGACCCTCCTTGCCCTCCCAGCCTGGGACACATGTTCCTTCTCCCTGGACCCATAATACCAGGTACATGTCTTTTTGCAATTACCTCACTGCATCCAAATGATTATTTTGATGGATTGACTTTAAGCAGCCTGAGGGCAGAGACTAGTATTATTTATTGTATGCCTAGCAACCAGTCTAGTGCTGGCATATAGTAGATGATCCATAAAAGCAAAAGGAAAATGAAACTTCCCCACCTCGGTTTCCATTGCTCGTTGCCCCTGTTAACACTGGCGTGTTCCATGACCCTGTCTTTGCAACTCTTCTGTGTTGACACTTATTCCCCACGTGATCTCCAGCAGTTTTATGGTTTAAATCTTTGTGCTGATGACTTTCAAATGCATATCTCTATCACGGACTTCTCTCCTGATTTCCGGACCCATATATCCAACTGCCTACTTTGTATCTGGATATCCAGTAGGATCTCAAACTGAACATGACCAAACTAAAGTCCTGATCTGCCCTCCCAAACTAGCATTTCCAACAGTCTCTCCCATCTTAGTAAAGAACATGGCCATCCTTCCAGGTTGTCCAGACCACAACTCTAAGAGTCATCCTTAAGCTCCCCCTCGTACACTCTATATAAATTTGTCATCAAATCCTATCATCTCTACCTTCCAAATATCCACATCACTGGGCACTTCTTACCTTTT